CTGCCCTCGTCCGGAGCTATAAATTCACGGATTGGACAGAGTGACGACATGAGATCGCCCGTGCCTGTCTCTCTGCTGGTTTGTGCTGACTGGAGTCGAAGCCCCCTTCCGAGTGCGTGTGCACACCAGTCGTGGAGAGAGCGAGAGCAAGCAACCGACCGACACACACACACACACACACAGAGAGAGAGAGAGAGAGAGAGAGAGAGAGAGAGAGATGGCGGGGGTCGAGGAGGTGGTGCGGGAGATCGTGGGCGGGAAAACCGTCGTCGTCCAGGAATCGAAGTTGGAGCATCGTTGCCACCCTCGCAGACGGATGGATTTCAGCCCTGACACGGCTGATCTCCATAGTCGTATCTACTATGTTCTCGTGGAAGGGACCGTGGTGATGAAGATCGATGGCGGTTTCGGGTACGACAAGGAAGGCAACGTGGTGGACGTCATCCTCAACGTGAAGAAGCTGTCGGAAGTCGTCCCCAACGACTGGCGTCTCCCAGAACGTGATGTCGTCGGTGACATCGTTAGATACCTGGTGTCCGCCATAGCTGATGAACACATAGTGCGCTTCACGGCAATGCCTTCTACGTGGCGCACATGCAGCCCCCTCTTCGGGGCAGGCAGTACTTGCACGGCGCTGTGCAGTCGTGGTGTCCTAATGACGATCTGAAGGCTGCGCGTCGGCGGTGGTGAGTGTGAAGGGAAGGGAAGGTTGCATGTTCGTCGATGAAGCGCAAGGAAAGATGTGATGAGGTCGCGTCATGCACGAAGGTGGTTAGGACGTTACCACCCTGGCGTTTTCGGGAAGCACGCTTGCGTGGACGTCGATTCACAGATCTTCGTCTTCAGTGTGGATCGGTTGCACGGTGACACGGCAGTGTAGAAGGGAGGACAACCCCGCAAGATCATCATATGCCATGCTGCCACGTCAGCAGATATGTTCCCGCTGATGGGTTTTCCGCAGATTTGTTGCCGCCGCGCGATTAGAGGGCGAATCGGCCATCTGCATGTTGGGTATGGAGCAGTTAGAGGGTGATATGTAGGTTGTCGCTTGGGCCACGGGTCATTTGTCGGCCTTCACTTGCTCCGCTGCGGGGGGGGTGTGGGGTGTGCCGAGGTTAGAAGATGACATGGCAACGCAGAAGGGAGGAGATCTCCCGCACTGTGACGACAAGATGTGCTGCCACGTCTGCATTTGAGTCACCGTCGTGTGCTTCGGTGATCTGTCGGCCATTGTTGTTTTTTTCGTTTTTCTTTTTTTCTTTCTTTTGTTAGGGCAGTTGAGGAGGATAGCAATGGGCCGCCGGCGACGTGTAATGTCCCTAACGTCATGAACCTCGATCTCGTGTCTGTGTGTGTGTGTGTGTG